TCCTGGCGAACAACGCCGGCGCGAGGGACAAGGTGGCCCAGGACCTGGCTGCCGCAGAGGACGGCGAGCCTGACTGGACGAACCCTGCGTTCTCCTTCTCCGACGTGCTCTCTGGCTACCTGGCCCCCGCCTTCTCTGAGGGGCCCGAGGTGGACGCTGGGTTCCTCTGCCTCACTGACGTGGGTCGCGGGGCCGACCTCTTCCTGAACAGGCTTCATCAAGGGACCGGCAGAAACTCCTGCAGACTGGCTGCTGCGCCATCGTTGGCAAGAAGGAAACGACCAATGCGGCCAGGCGCCAGAAGCGAAAGGAGGAGAAGCAGCACCAGGCGCAGGTGAAGCGAACAGAGACGAAGACGCAGCGCAAGGCCCTCCGGCAGCTCGTGCAAGGTGGAGGCAAGGAGGCCGCCCTGGCTGCCCTGGTCCCCCTCTCGAGCAAGGGCAGGCAGGCACAGGCGAAGAAAGGGGCCAGCGCCTCCGCGAAGGCCAAGGCGAAGCGGAAGGCCCAGCGCAGGCGCGAAGTGGCGAGGGAGGTCACCCGCGTGGTCACGGCCGCGAGGGAGGCGGCCCTGCCTGCCCTGACGGCCCCAGGCGCCGAGCTGGAGCAGAAGCGGAAGGGCCCGCCAGGACCCGCGACGGGCGCCCCCAAGAGGCTTCGCCTGCGCCTCCGAAAGAGGGCGGACGGCCCCCTGACTGGTGCAGCCGCAGCGGCTGCGGAGGCCCCCCTGGCTGGTGGAGCGGCAGCGACAGCCGAGGCCCCCCTGGCTGGTGTAGACGCAGCGGCAGCCATCCTCTGGGCCTCGCAGCGAAGGCGGACCTGGAGAAGGCCGGGGCTGTGCAGGCCCAGGCAGCACAGGACGCCCAGGCAGCTGCAGCTGCCTTGAAGCGAGCCACGGCGACGGCGAGGGCGGAGGCTGCGAAGGCGCGGGCGGCTGCCAAGGGAGCCCGCGACCTGGCCGAGCAGGTCCAGACCGACCTGGGTCGGTGGAGGACTGACGACGGGCCGAGCGAGGCGGACCTGGCTGCGGCGGACCGCGTTCTCTTCGAGGACGACACTGCGGGTGCGGCACCCGCGGAGGCGGCGCCTGCAGCGGGGGCCTCGGCGGCGCCGCCAGGCTTCCTGGGAGGCCGCCCGCTGCCTCCTCCTGCAGGGGCGGCCGCCGAGGCGCGGCCTGGCTCCCTGACAGGCCCTCCGCAGCCTCCTCCGCAGGGCCCGCCGCCTGCGGAGACAGGGGCTCCAGGCGCGGCCGCCGCGGCGCCGCCAGGCTCCCTGGCAGGCCCTCCGCAGCCTCCTCCGCAGAGCCCGCGGCCTGTGGAGGGCGGAGCTGCAGGAGCGCCTGCCGCAGACCAGGCTCCCGCGGCGGGGGCCTCGGCGGCGCCGCCTGGCTCCCTCGGAGGCCCCCCGCCGCCTCCTCCTGCGGGCCCGCCGCCTGGGGAGGGAGAGCCCGCCCTCCGCCTGGGCGACAAGGTCAGGCTGACGAGCGACGCCCACGTCCCACAGTCTGACTGGGGAGACGTCGTGGTCAGCTGCCTGGGCACTCCTGGCTGGGCGCGCTTCCGGAGCGAGAGGAACGGAAAAGGCAGGGAGGTCCGAGCACGGCTGTCTGACGTCACGAGGATCGCCGAGGCACCGCCGCCTCCCGCACCGGCAAGGCAGGCGCTGACGTAGCTGTCTGAAGCCGCCTGCGACCTCGTGGAGGAGGCCTGGGCGTGGGGCCCGCCGGCTCCTGCAGGCCAGGTGCGGGAGTACACCTGGCTGTCTACGGCAGAGATGGACCTGGCTGGCCTCGAGGTCCTGTGGCGGCTGACGCCTCCTGACCTGGTCTGGCTGCCCTCGCAGCTCGTGGGCTTTCCCGTGGCGGAGATGCTCGCGGCTGAGGGGTCTCTCTCAAGTAGGGGGGACCATGCTGGACGCCTGCCTGCAGCTGATGTCCCGCGCAAGGACAGTCGTGGCCCCCATCTACGCCAATGGCCACTGGACCTGCCTGGTCTTGGAGTGCGGGCCCCAGAGCACGCGGGCCGCGGCGCCCCCGCCTGGCTGGGGCGCCGCGGGGCCGCCCAGGCCAGGGCCCCCCCTGCGCCACCTGGCCGGGCTCTGCCCCGACTGCAGGGGCACGCGCTGCGCCTCCTGCAACGACGAGCTGTTCTGGGCCATGGAGGAGAGGCAAGCGCGGGAGGCCCTCGTGGTGGCACAGATGAGGAAGCCCGTCCTCGCTGGCTGCCCTGACTGGGTGCCCACGTACTACGACACCCTGCGCGACGAGAGCGCGGCGTGCAAGGCCGCGGCTGCCTGCGCCCCGGCTCTCCTCGGCGTGCAGCGCGGCGTCCCGGAGCGAGCGAACGCCTGCCGGCAGGCGGGCACCACCTGCGGCTACTGGGTGGCCCACCTGTGCGAGGAGCGCTGCAGGCGCTGCCTGGGGGAGGGCTGCCGGTCCTTCCCCTTCGACCTGCAGCTGCGCACGAGCCGCCTGGCTGCGACGCGCAAGCGGCTGGGGCTCTAGCTGCCTGCAGGAGGCCCCAGTTGTCGTCGTCGTCGTACCCCCTCCCTCCTCCCCTCCCCATCCACCCCCTCCCTCTCCCCCTTCGCCTCCTCTCAGGGGCTTCACGGGGCCTCAAGGGTCTCAGGGGCCTCGCGATGCCTCAGGGGTCTCGGGGGTCTCACAGGCCCCGGGCCGATTCCGACGCCCAGGCCGGCGCCCGAGCCGGCGCCCGGGCCGGGCGCCCGAGCCGGCGCCGGGCCCGGCGCCCGGGCCAGGTCCGGAGCCGGCTCTGGCCGGCGCCGGAAAATCGAGTTCCGAGGCGGCGCCGAAAAAAAACCATTCCAATTCATAGTTTTCTTTTGAAAATGCTGAATTTCTGCTTCTGGCGCCTGGGAAGCCTCCCGGGCCGATTCCGGCGTGCTTCCGCTCGTTCCGAATCGTGCTCCCGCTGCAGCGCTGGCCTCATTTCCGCGCTTCCGCTCGTTTCGACTCGCGTTCCCGCTGCAGCGCTGGCGTCATTTCCCGTGCCATGCCACGGCATGCAATGCAATGCTAGGTTGATACTACGCTTCGCGGTGCTCTTCTACGCCATGCCACGCCGTGCTCTACAATGCATCGCGTACCCTTTCGGGATCATTGCCCTGCTCGACATCCGACTGTGCGAGTAGTGAGGGGATTTGCGCCATGGTAAGGGATGGGAGGGAAGGGTAGGATGTCAGATATGACGCGAGCGCACCTAGCTTCCCCCCCCCCCTCTCTCCTGTCCCCCCCCCCTCTCTCTGCCCCCCCCTCTCTCTCTCTCTCTCCTTTCCCCCCCCCCCCCCCCCTCGCGTGTCAATTCTTTCGTCGTTGGCGTCCCCCCTCCTCAGAGCGAAGCTTGAGCGAGCCCCCCCCCTCTCCTTTCCCCCCCCCCCTCGCGTGTCAATTCTTTCGTCGGTTTTCTTCGTTTGCGCCCCCCTCTCCCGCCCCCCCCCCGTCCAGAGCGAAGCTTGAGCGAGCTCCAGCCCACGCTCTCGGAAACTCGCACGCCGAATCGGCGGATGTTTGAGTTTTCGCCCCAAATCCGCCATTACATAGAGGGGGGCGCGCCCGACCTGGCCCTGGGCGCGCCGCGGAGCGTGAGCGCGGGCGTGCTTCTGCCCCACCCCCCGCCAGCGCGACGGAATTCGTGTAAGATAGACGCACTCTCCCGGGTCGCCCAGGCGGAGTCCGCACCGACGGGGCCCGGGGCGCCGCGCCACGCCGCCGAGGCGCGTCGGAGGCTGGCGCGGCTCCGAGGGGGCCCCGACGCCGCCGGGGCGTCGGCGATGCATCTCCAGAGGTCCACCGAGCCTTTTTTGTCCATGTGATCGTTTTTCCTATTCCTTGCTTTGCCGATCGGCGCGGGCCCTCGTAGCCCCCCCCCCTCCCCCTCATGGAGTAGATCTTGGCTGTTTTCGGCGCCTGTTTCAAGCGGGTGGGATCGCCCCCATCAGACGCATTGTTGCAAGCGGTCGCAATTAGCAGAGCTCCAGAGCAAGACCCCCCCCGTCCCCCCCGCTTCCGCCCAATGTCGAAACGCCGAATAAGAAAACGTTCGCCTGTTTTCTTTCCGCGCCGCTCCAGGAGCCCCGACCCGACTCGCGGGGGGCAGGCTCTCGTCCCAGGGTCGTTTCCTGCTGGCCCGCGGGGTGACGGGCCCTGGAGGCCGAGAGGCGAGACGCCCGGATTGCAAAGCTCAGGTCGTCGGAGTGCTGTCAAACGGGGCCAGGACGAGGACAAATCCGTTCCAGAGTGTCCAGAGCGCTCTCAGAGCGTTCCTCGGGGGCAGCAAAGGGGGGGGTGAGGACTGGGGGGGGAGATCATGGCGGGGGCCACGATATCTCCCCAGATTTCACAGCGCCTCTTCTTCTTTCACTACGTTCCTGCCGCCCCCCCCCTGGGCCGCGCACGTGCTGCCGGCCATGATTTGCGTCCCCTCCTCTTGGACGCCCCCCTCTTGACCGCCCCCCGAGTTCCAGGACGCTCTGAGAAGGCCGCGGCGCCCGAGACATCTTCTTGAGCCGCCGGATCTCAGAGGTTTCCGATGCATCCCCACCCGTTCGAATCCTCGTCCTGGCCTCGTCTTATGCTGAACCGGCGATGCGGTGCGATCCTCCGACTCCGTCTGCGCGGACCCCACCTGGGCGCGGCTTCCGATCGTAGGTCCACGGCCTTATGCCGGCTTCTTCTTCTGGGAGGGCGCCAGCCTGTTGCCTGCGCCGACCCGTATCTCTGGGGCATCGATAGGGGGGGATAGGCTCAGGGTGGAATGCATCGACCCCCAATCGCATCGCCCACTGATCGCCGATAGTGGTCTGACGGCCCCACCCCGCCCAGGATCGAGCGGATCCGCGACAGGGGGCCCCTCGCTGATCTATCGGCGATGCATCGCCGATTCCAGGTCGGTGTGCTCTCCCCCGTGCCAGTCCCACCCTCGGATGCAACTCCTAGGAGGTCAAGCTCTGACTTTGCCCTGGTCCGAAATCCGGCTCAATCCGGCTTGACCCCGTTTAATCCAGCTTCACTCCTCTCAATCTGGGTTAATACCGCTTGATCTGCGGCCTAATCCAGCGTAGCCGCCCCCCAATTGAGCTTAATCCTTCTCTTGGCATCGCTCGGACGTGTGTACTTTCTGTCGGCGGGGAACATCGAGGAGCATCCTGGATCATCTTGCACGAAACCGACAAAAATGCGCGGGGTCTGGACGTCCGAGCGATAGCAAGTCCTTAATCGGAAGCTGGAGCATGTACACTACCAGTGGCGGGCTGTTCTTGAATCCCAGGATTTGTTTAGGGTCGGAATGGTGTGGTGTACGTATACTTTTTCTGTTTTCCAGGGGAAAACGAAACATGTATACACCAGGGTCCTGTATACACAAGGGCCCGCTCTCCAGTGCAAGTGCTGGTGCAGGGCCCGAGAGAGCGTCGGTGTATAGAGTTTGTTTCCCTGTTTGATCCTTCCGACGAAGACCTCCCAGTACAGAAGAACCCCACCCATGCCAAGGAACACCCTGCTTGCCTCCAGGGTGCCCTGGGTTTCTTGGGCTTCGATGGTTTTGCCGTGGAGTACGTGACGCTCCCACACCAAACAATTCATGGACGTTCTGGGGTCTCAGGGTTGGGTCTCTTGTGGACGGTTTCTGGTGGTCGAGTTCCTACTGTGGTGGCCTCCGCACCCCTGGGGGCTTGGCCTGGCCGGGCTCGGCGCAGGCGGCCCTCCCGCGGCCTCGGCGCAGGGCTCCGTGGAGGCCTCCCGAGGCCAGAGGCCACATCCCGGGCCCCCTGGGCTGGCCAGGCCAGGACCGGCGCGGGCCGGAGGCCCCCCACTCGGGGCTCTAAGTGGGAGAAGGAGGAGGAGGAGGAGGAGGAGGAGGAGGAGGAGGAGGAGGAGGAGGAGGAGGAGGCGGAGGCGGAGGCGGAGGCGGAGGCGGAGGCGGAGGAGGAGGAGGAGGAGGAGGAGGAGGAGGATGAGGAGGAGGAGGAGGAGGAGGAGGAGGAAGAGGAAGAGGAAGAGGAATCATAATAATAATAATGATAATAATCATAATTACCCCAGTGCGAACTACCTAGAAGTTGGAGCCCCTAGGAAAGCAGCATGAGTTGCTAATGCTATGCTATGCCATGCCATGCCATGCCATGCTGCGCCATGCTATGCTATGAAATGCTATGCTATGCTGCGCTACGCTGTGCTATGCTAAGATATGCTATGGTACGCTATGCTATGCTAAGCTGCGCTATGCTATGCTATGCTATGATATGCTATGCTATGCTATGCTATGCTGCGCTATGCTATGCTATGCTATGTTATGCTATGCTATGCGTGGCTATGTTATGCTATGCTATGCTATGCTAATGCAGCGCTGCGCTATGCTAAGCTAAGCTAAACTGCCCCTCTAGGCAGAGCCTTGGTTGGGAATTACACATGATGAAGGTAAGCTAGGATGAAGGTAAGCTAAGCTAAGATAAGCCTGAGCTAAGATGAAGCTAAGCTAAGCTAAGATGAAACAACTAAGCTAAGATGAGGTAAGCAACGCTAAGCTAAGGGGACGTACGTAACTGGGGGAACCGCGGGGCGGATACCGGGGGAACCGCCCGGGGCGAGCCCCACTGCCCGGCCCCTTTAAGCCCAGAGAGTAAGAACCCTTCTAGGCAGAGCCTAGGTAGTGCTCTGCTATGCTAAAGCTCAGCGAAGCTAAGATGAAGGTAAGGTAAGCTAAGATAAACCTGAGCTAATATGAAGCTAAGCTAAGCTAAGATGAAACAAACTAAGCTCAGGTGAGATAAGCAACGCTAAGCTAAGGAGACGTAACTGGGGGAACCGCGGGGCGGATCCTGGGGGAACCGCCCGGGGCGAAGCCCACTGCCTGGCCCCTGTAAGATAGAGAGTAAGAACCCTTCTAGGCAGAGCCTAGGTAGGGAATAATAATTTTCCCAGTGCGACCCTACCTAGGGGTTGGAGCCCCTAAGAAAGCAGCATTAGTAGTAACAGCAAAGCTAAGCTACAGCTAAGCTAATTCTAAGCTAAAGCTAAACTACAGCTAAGCTAAAGCGAAGCTACATCTAAGCTACAGCTAAGCTACATCTAAGCTAAAGCTAAGCTAAAGCTAAGGTAAAGCTAAGCTAACGCTAAGGTAAAGCTAAGCTAAAGCTAAGGTAAAGCTACGGTACAGCTAAGGTAATGCTAAGCTAAATCTAAGGTAAAACTACGCTAAACCTAAGCTACATCTAAGCTAAATCGAAGCTAAAGCTAAGCTACAGCTAAGCTACAGCTAAGCTACAGCTAAGCTAAATCTAAGCTAAAGCTAAGCTAAAGCTAAGCTAACACTGAGCTAAAGCTAAGCTACAGCTACAGCTAAAGCTAAAGCTAATGCTAATGCTAAAGCTAAAGCTAAAGCTAAAGCTCCCAGGGGACTGGGGGAACCGCGGGGTGGATCCTGGGGGAACCGCCCGGGGCGAAGCCCACTGCCCGGCCCCTTTAAGATAGAGAGTAAGAACCCTTCT